TCCGCAATTGGAGAGCAGCTTCAGCTTGGAGTCCTTCATGGAGCCCATCATGCGCCCGTCTCCGATGATGACTGGTCCGCGCATGGCCCGCGTCAGTCCAACGTTCACTTTGTTGGGGTTGTCGACGAAGCCCCAAGTGTGTGTGTGTGTGTGTGTGGAGTTGGCGCGGGTAGTGAGAAAGATCACCAGGTGGGCTTCGCCTCCTTGGTTGGAGTCCACAATGGAGACGGCGAGGCGCCCTGACTGGAGGCGTTTGCCCACGATCTGGCGGAGCCCCTCGAAGGGGAGGCCAATGTCGTTGTCGAGGGTAGCCTTCGCCTTGAAGACCTGGTTGGCGTTGCAGCGGTCTGGCGCGTAATCGGCGTCATTCGTCCTCGGTGCTGACTCGGCGTAGGTGGACGTCTGCGCGGAGGCAGCGACGGAAAGGGGGCAGGCGAGCGGTTCCGTCGGGGGCTGGTGGCGCGAGGGTTGCACTCTGTAGCGTCGCGACGCTGGCGGGGGAGGGACCCCACTGAGTGCACGCGGCGCGCGGCCTGGGGGGTGGCAGCCTGGGGGGTCTGGGTCACGGGGGGCCTGGGCTGAAAGGCCACCCGTCTTCGAAGAGCACCCACTGGGGCCTGTACGGATCGGCGACCTTGACGGTGGGCTCATCCTTCAGGGCGGGAAGGAGGGTTCGGACCAGGTCACTCGTCAGGGCGGCCTCGGGGATGTTGGCGCATCCCTCGGCAAGGGGGGAGATAAGCTCGTACGACCTGTTGTGCACCAGGAAGGTGCGATGGGCGTCCCCTTAGGAGATCCTGTAGGGGTCGGGGCGGAGCTCGAGGCACTCCCGCAGGAGGTCTTGGCTGCTGACCTTGAAGATCTGGGCCAAGGGCTGGTGGGCTTACTTTTTAGTCGCGGCCGCGGGTGAAAGCGCAAACGGCGAGTCGTCTTAGAGGAGGAGGAGCAGGAGGAGGAGCAGGAGGAGGAGCAGGAGGAGGAGGAGGAGCAGGAGGAGGAGGAGGAGGAAGAGGAGGAGGAGTGGTCCGGGGAGGAGCGGCACATCTCGGCACCTGCTGGTGCCGCCATGTGCACCTTCTCGGCACACGGAGGCAGCTCAGGGCCCCTTGAGGGCCCCATCTCAGGGCCCCTTGCAAGCAGTCCACGGCCCGCCCATGACGCGTCCTCCTTTCCAAAACGCTCCAGAAGAGCTCCAGAGACCCTCCAAGAAATAAGAGTACCCCTACTGGGAGGTGGCAGAAGTGAGGAGGGTCGAACACAGTAGGGATATGGGGGTCTTGTCTGCAGAGGTAACAAACGAGACCGTCCAAACTGATTATCCCCAATGCGACGACGTGACTTTGTTTGTCGCAGCGTCGAGCCCAGGGCCGGGTTGTCATCTTGAGTCGGTTTTTGAAATCCCCGAGGCCCGGCGAGGGCACCCCGGGGCCGAACCTAACGAAGAACCTCGCGTCGTGAAATTTGCCACAGCGTGAAAGGTCTAGGTCTATATCGTGCAATTAAGGGGTACGGGGTTCTTGTGTTCCCGGGGATCCGGGAGGCCTCGCGGCCTCTGGAGCACAAGCTGCGGCGAGCTGCGTGTGCTGCGCCAGGTCGGCCTCCGGGCGGGCCGCCCCTTCGCCGCCCGCGGCGGGCCCGCAGGGAGGGGCGCCCCGAAGGGCCCGCAGGAAGCTTCTTGGATAGCCGCGGAGGTTGCAAGGGAGGATGGGGGGGGTTCGAAGCGGATGCTGAAGTGGGTGTTATCTGGCCCGACCCAGCTTAGAATTGGGCTGCACGTGCCCTGAGTGGCTGAAGGGCGCACAGATCTGGGCTCAGTGGGCGGAGCCCACTTAGCGGAGTTACCGCATCACCCTAAGCCACATAGGGCACCTGGGCTAGGCCAGATAAAACCCATTTTCGCATCCACTTCTAACCCCCCCATGCCCTTGGCAACCACCGCGGCGATCCAAGTGGCCCCGCGGAGATGGGGGCGAGGGCTCCGGGCCCACGCCAAGGGCAAGGCAGAGTGAGGGGGTCGGACGGGCATGCGCTGTCCCTGGGCGCGTTGCTGAAGTGAGGCTCTGCGGTGCGGATTGTTGTTGTTGGTGTTGTTGTTGATATTGAATTTATCATGCCAATAAGGCTAGCTGTTGTTTGCCCACCCTCCCCCTGTAACCACTGCACTGTTTCAAGTAAGGTGCGGGATCGCTTCCTGTTTTTTACCACAGACAGTGTGGGGTTACCAAACTGCGCCCCTGGCCCGCGAACTACAATAACAATGGCTCCCGCCTGATAAGTCCTCAGAATGTATTCCCAAATCGCGTTCTCGCGAGGGACCACCTTACAATGTCGGAGGTTGGGGGCTGAGATCGCAGTGGACCGGAGACCCCCAACCGGGAAATCGTTTCGTTTCGTGCGTGTCGTGCGTGCGGGCGAGGCGAAGCTACGTGGGCGCGCGAGAGGAATGAACCCGCCGTTGCCAGGGCGAAGACAAGACAAATGATTCTCCCCCTCCCGCCCGTCCAGCGGTGGCCCCGCGGTGTCCGCCGTTGCTAGGGCGAAGTCAAGACAAATGATTCCCCCCCTCCCGCCCGTGCGGCGGTGGCCCGCGGTGCCCCACGGTGTCCCGTGGTGTCCCGTGGTGTCCGGCGTTGCTACGGCGAAGACACAGCAAATGATTCTCCTCCGCCCGCCCGTCCGGTTGCGCGCGGTGTCCTGCGGTGTCCCGTGGTGTCCCGTGGTGTCCCGTTGAGTGAGATCGATAGCGAGATCGATAGTAAGATGGATAGTGAGATCGATAGTGAGATCGATAGTGATATCGATAGTGAGATCTATACTGAGATCGATGTGGTGCCCCGAGGTGTCCCGAGGTGTACCGTGGTGTCCCAAGAAATGAGATCGATAGTGAGATCGACAAGTGGCCTGTGGTGTCCCGTGGTGTCCCCTTGAGTGAGATTGATAGTGAGATCGATAGAAAGATCGATACTGAGATCGATGTGGTGCCCCGAGGTGTCCCGTGGTGTTCCATGGTGTCCCAAAAAGTGAGATCAATAGTGAGAGCGAGAATGATTTCGACAGGTGTCCCGTGGTGTCCTGTTGAGTGAGATCGATAGTGAGATCGATAGTGAGATCGACGTGGTGTCCCGAGGTGTCCCGTGGTGTCCCGTTGAGTGAGATCGATCGTGAGAACGATAGTGAGCTCGAGAAGTGTCCCGCGGTGTCCCGTTGAATGAGATCGATAGTGAGATCGATAAAGAAATCTTGAAGTGTCCCGTGATGTCCCGTTGAATGAGATGGATAGTGAGATCGATTGAATCAGATGTTGGTTCCCCCCCTATCCCCCCCCAACCTCCTTATCACCCGAAGGGTGGTCGTATAGGTATGCAGGAACCGCGGTGTCGCGTGGGACTTCAATCTATTCAGACGCCGCGCCCTCGACACTCAGGAATCATGCTCTCGCTGTCGATTTCCTCACGATGTATTTGGGAATCGCGCTATCGCTCGAGACTTCCTCACGATTCATGCAGGACGCACGCTTCCCCAACCCGCCTGCTCGAGCTGGCCGCCTGGGCTCGCCTTCCCGACCCGCCTGCTAGGGTCAACCCGCCCGATCTGCCCGTCTGGTTCTGCCACGTGTTTTCTGCTCCTAGCCCCCCCTCCTGCTGCCCTCTCTCTCTCTCATGTTCTATCCTCCTCACTCCCCCTTGTCAGTCCTTCCATCTGTCCATTTTTCCTCTGCCTTAGGGGCTGCACGACATACAGGTTGCAAGTAAGAAATGTGTGTAGAGCGGATATCGAGGGTTTGGGATACACGTGTTTAGTGGCCCGCGAGCAGATAAGAGCGAGCAGTATCAAACTTATTGTTGTTGGTGTTGTTAATGTTACTGATGTTGTTGTTGCTGTTGAATACTCATTTCTCAAGAACAATTATTGTTGATCTCCAGAAGCGGTTCCGCGCGCTCTCGCCTCGACGCCGGCTACATCTTCTCTGAAAACGAGGCTCCCGCGCGAGCGTTGGCTTGAGTCGAAATGTGGGCCCTTGGAGGCCCAGCTGCGACGACAACGGCTCCCGCTCGATACTTCCTCACTATTTACCCCGAGACACCCTGGCCAGAGAGGCCCCCGAACTCAGGAACGGCGCCTTCGCTCGAGACTTCCTCGCAATTCAATCAAGTTGGCGGAGCCCAGCCACGACGACAAGGGCTCCTGCTCAATACTTCCTCACGATTTACTCAGAGAGCCCCAGGCCAGGAAGGCCCCCGAACTCAGGAACGGCACTCTCGCTCGAGACGTTCTCGTAATTCAGGCAAGTCGGTGGAGGCCCAGACACGGCGACAAGGACTCCCGTTCGATATTTGTCCATCGGTATTCCGAGGGCCAGCCCCTGGCCAGAGAGGCCCCCAAACTCAGGAACGGCGCTCTCGCTCGAGACTTCCTCGCACTTCAGTCAGTGGCCGACAAGGAAGATATTCCCCCCGACAGGGGTGCAATCGAAGACGAAGTGGGCGGGTATCGAGGGTTGGGGTATACAGAATGCAAGACACGCGTGCCAGTAAGAGCGAACAGTCTCAAAATGAGTGTTACTTGTGTTGCTGTTGCTGTTGCTGTTGTTGTTGTTGGTGTTGTCAACCCGGCCCGCGACACACCCACGACCAACCAGCGACCCACCCGCGACTCGGCCCGCGACCCGCCCACGAACCACCCACGACCCACCCACGACCCACCCCGCATCCCGCCCGCCACCCACCCGCGACCCCGCCCGTGACCCGCCCTCGACCCACCCGCGATCCCCCCGCGACGCGGCCCGCGACCCACCCGCGACCCACCCGCGAGCCACCCCGCGACCCACCCACATTGCTTTAACGAAAACATTTGCGCCTGCTCGGCAGGGTCCCTGGGGAAATATATGCTCGGTAGCAACCGTGGCGTCCCAGACACCGCTCGGACGGTGCCAACCGGCTGTGTGAAACGCCGCCATCGGCCGCTGCCTTGCCCTCCGAAGTCAAGCAAGGCGTGCTGTCCTTGCTGCCGGGCTCGTATCCCTTGTCGAACTTCTTGATGAACTCTGGGAAGGTCATAGCTGGCGTCCCGCACTCGGCGGATTCGCCGTCTGCTTCTGACCCTGTTCGCAAGTGCACGCCGAGACCAAGAGCAGGTGGGCACAGGCTGATAGAACCCATCGCCAAAGCGACAGCATGCCCCACTCGCGTCATGAGGCTCGTACAGTAACGGAATGTGTATGAATAATTCGAGTTCCTAGGGTGCACGAACCCTCGTGCACTTAAATAGCAGCGAATGCAACATAAGGTGATGGGTACACGACAAGTGCACCATGTGTTTACAACAGATGCACCATGGCTTCTATTTCGCCAGGGTGACGACCAAACTTAAACTGCCATTGGGCATGCAGTAAGTCACGAGTATAGCGCGGTAAAAAATAAGACGCAGATGCACAGATGCAGCGCCCTCACATAGAAACTTGCTTCGACGCGGTCCACACACGAGACGTCGTCGACGCACCGAGGTTCGGATCGAAAGATGCGCCGGCGCGCACGCCAAAACAATCTGTGCAGGTGCACTCAGAAGTGCCGAACGATTCAGGACAGGAGATGTGACACATGCGTCGTCGCATCGTGCGCGACGAAGAAGCAACGAACACTCCGCAGCGCGCGCCAAAACGTCGATGGTCGCCGCCGGGCCGAATGCTGACCTCAAGCCCCTCGCATTCTTCTTGCGCGCACGAGCCTGGTTGGGGAAACCAAAAGGAACCGATACCGATACTCCCTGGACCACTCCGGGAGTGCGTTCTGACCGAAACTTCGAGGCGCATCCAGCGGTGACGACGAAGGCCTCCGAGGAAGCCAAAAGTAACGAAAACGAGGCGAGGGTAGCGATATCGGCACCTCTTCCTCCTGTGACCAGAATGGTATCGCCACTCCCCCGTCCCCGACGCCTCAGCACCGACGCGCCTCCCATTTGGCGGCGAGCCAGGGGGGACGTGAGAAGGGGCGGACCTCCTCAAAGGCTCGGAAATCCCCCGACAATCTGAGAAGTTTTCTAAGCCGTCCCTGAAGACACAGAAAGCTTCTCCGAAGGCCGGAGGGCTTCTGAGAAGTGCCGCCGCCTTCTGAGAAGGCCTTTTCCTTCTCACTTCCCCCCCTTGGGCGCGCCGCCGAGTTCAATTTTGGGGTCGTAGCTCGGGTCTCCGGCGGCCGTTCGGGACAATCCAGGCACTACCGGAACGCCCTCGGCGAGGCGCAGCCGCTGGAACGCACCCCGAGGCCGGGAAACCGCCGGGAACCGACGAAACGTCAGAAAAACCTCGAATCTCGAAACATCCCCCCCCTGGGACCCGTGTGCCATCCTGAGGTGTTTTTTGATGGCCCCGAGGACAGTAACGGCCCGCGGAGGCCGAAAATAGCGAACAACCTCCCGCCGCGATTTCTTCACAGCGCGAGGTCTGGGGAGTGCCGACCCCTGCCCGTGCGCGCTCCCTCTTGGATCGCCGCGGTGGTTGCGAAGGGGATGGGGGGTTAGACGTGGATGCTGAAGTGGGTTTGATCTGGCCAAACCCAACTTCTTACATGTGCCCTATGTGGCTTAGGATGATGAGGTAATTCCGCTAAGTAGGCTCGGCTTTCGCCCAAATCTGTGCGCCCCTGAGCCACCTAGGGCACGTGCAACCCACTTATAAGCTGGGTTGGGCCAAATAATGGGGAAACCAAAAGGTACCGATACCGCTACTCCCCTGGACCTCTCCTGGGGTGCGCTGTGACCAGAATCTCGAGGCGCATCCAGCGGTGGCGACGAGGGCGGCCCAGGAGGCCCAAAAAGGGGAGAACGAGGGAGGGGTAGAGATAAGGGTACCTTCTCCCCCAGCCAGATAAGACCATGTTTTTTATCATCCACTTCTGACCCCCCCCCTCCGTCCCCCTTTGGCAACCGCCGCGGCGATCAGAGCTCCTTTCCTGTACCCCGGGGCGGGGGGGGGGGGGGGGGGGGTGGCAGCGGAGGGCGGCGGAGGCGCGGCACGGGAACCGCCGCCCCCCCCCCCCCCCTCTCGAGAAGAGCGGCACGGGGCGCCCGCGCTTCCCCCCAAAGGGGCGCGCCCAGCGTCGCGCGCTCGCGCGAGGCGCGGAGAACCTCGCGCCCTCGCGCCGCCCCCCCCCCCAGGGGGGAAGGCAGGAGGAGGAGGAGGAGGAGGAGGAGGAGGTCGAGTCTTTGTCGGGCGCGGCGGGCCATCGAAAGGGATCAAGGATGGACCGAGGAGGCAAGGATGCAAGGGCACACATGGAAAAGGTGGCCCATCCTCACCGTCGGTTTCGACTGCATACCGACCGCAGAAAAAGTCCGCGCACGCGGACGGCTTCTGCCTTGACTCGGCACTGGTATGACCTAGAACAGAGCAGCCCATCACGCAGGTTCGCGTCTGCTGGGCGCGCGGCTCATGTGAAGGCCGTCGCGTCGGGAGGCGGCGCGCCTTCGAAGCCATCAGCGCCGAGTCCCGATACCCGATGTCTCGAAGCAGCGCTGAGCAAACTGGTACGCTTTCTTGCGCGCGCGTACCACTAGCAGCCACAAGCCACAGAGAGCACGTAGCAGGCGCGTGCCCCACCGAAGAGGAGGGGGAAGGAGGAGGAGAGCGACGAGCAAGAGGGGAACAGGAGAGTCCTCGAGCGACAACGAGGACCAAGACCTGCAGAGCGACACTCTCTCTGAGGCCGCATTTGGGGAACGACGCTGACCTTCCTCCTCCTCCTCCTCCTCCTCCTGGAGTATAGGTTGAGGAGGTTGGATCTCATGATGGCCAGCTTCGACGATGAGGGATGAGGCGTGAGGCAAGGGGGGCCGAGCGGAGAGCGGAGGGACGAGGGGGGGCCGCGGGGAGGGCAAGGGGGATGGGAAGAGGAGGGAGGAGGAAGAGCGCGGAGGGGGGGTGGGAGGGGATAGGGATATGTTGCTCCCAACGTACTTGAGGACCACATCCCAACATTAATTTCGAGCACCCGGAAACGTGTCGAAGCAGTGCCGAAACAGTGTCGAGACACTATCAGACAAGTGTCTGCCAGGGCCCGACACGTGGAAACCCTGGAGTTTCGGTATTTGTTTTGGCGCTCGAAAGTATTTCTGGTGGTCAAGGCTAAAGTAGGTTGGAACATCATAAGGATAGGGGGTGGGCAGGGGAGAGTGCCTACATTTTGACCCGAAAGGAGGAGCAGGCCACTGCAGGAACAGAAACTGCTGGAGGAGCACGCCACAGGCGCGGACCCCCCTCCCTGGCGCGCGGAGTTTGCCAGGGGCTGCGCGGTGCAATCATGGTTATACCGCTCCCTGCTCTTCGACGGAAGGTTGGAAACTTATTCTGGGGACCTTCCTGCAGGCACTCGCTCCGCTCGTGCGTCGAAGCTGCGCCGAATGTCCGTCGATCCGAACCGACTCCAAGTCGATCCTGAGTCGGACCCGAGTCCAACGTGTGCCGATCTTGGGTCGAACTTGATTTAATCTGAGTCAAACTTGAGTGGAACTTTGGATGGGCAGGAGCCGATCTTGAGTCGAACTGGAGTCGAACATATTCGTTAGGTGCGCCCCTGAAGGTCCCCCAAACGAGCATTTAAGGAAGGGGAGGCGGTTCAGTACTTCGACTCGGAAGTGAAGAGATGAAGACTGGGCCCTCGAAGCGACAGGGCCCATTCTTACTGGTTCCGTTTTGCTGTTTTTTTGTTGACGGTTATGTCGCCGTTTTGTTGCCGGTTCCGTCGCAACTTTTTGTTTTCCGGTTCCGGTTCCGGCTCCAATCCCCGTGCCGTTTTTGTTGGCTGTTTCCGGCCGCCGTGTTGCTACCGCTTCCATCTTCAAACGGCACTATATCTCCGAAGTCGGTGAGAGAACAACGACCCTGCCGCTCCCAAGGCCCACTAAGCATGAAAGAAAAAAATAGCGGATGAGTCGGAGGAAAGAGGAGGAGGAGGACCAGGGCGAGGCGGAGGAGGAAAAGGAGTAACGGAACAAGCTCTTCCTCCATGTCTGGTCCACGTCAGCAAAGAAGGAGGAGGAGGGAGGAGGGAGGGAAGAGGGAGGAGGGTGGAGGAGGGAGGATGAGGGAGGACGAGGGAGGAGGAGGAGGAGGAGGAGGAGGAGGAGGAGGAGAAGGAGGAGGAGGATGAGGAGAAGGAGGAGGAGGTGGAGAGAGAGGCGACGAGGGGAAGGGCCGAACCGCCTCACTGGACATCTCCCGCCGCGGCCTCTGGCAGACTGCGGCGCCTCTCAGCCGCGCCGCGCCCTCTTGGAGGGCGGCGCCTGCGGGAGCAGCGCGGGCTGACGCGGAGGGCTTGCGCCGGACCGTGCGCCAGATCGGGGTGCATCGGCACGGAGCGAGCCACCCAGGCCCCGTCGGGTCAGGAAGGAATCACGGCGTCAAGTTTTTGTCTAGCGATTTTCGTGGGGAAACGGAGGGTGACATAAAAAAAATACTCGGAGGTCCGCGCGGATTTCTCGGATCGGCGCTGGACCCCCCCTGGCGGCGCCTCTGGCGCCGCCCTTGGCGTGCTCCGCGCGCCAGGGAGGGGGGTCCAGTGCCGATCCGAAAAATCCGCGCAGGCGTCCAAGTTTTTATGTTGATTTAGGATTGCCACTACATCCATTACTCCCGACCCTTCTCAGGGGAGGCAGCACGCGAAGCGATAGAGCACGCATGGCCCAGGCCCGGCGCCCTCCTCTCTCGAGTTTCGACCACCACGGGCGGGTTGGAGCGCAGCGGTGCCAGAAACTTACAACGCAACTTGACCCGTTGTCCAAAAAGGTCGAGAAGAGGCTGGATGAGACAAAAGGACACTCCGAAAACCATCTAGCAAGCTCATCTTATTTGGGAATGTTCACTACATCCATTACTTCGACCCTTCTCAGGGGAGGGAGCATGCGAAGCGTACCCGAATAATGAGGAGAAGCACCCTTATACAAGGAGCTGAATTGCCAAGGCAACACAACGCGAGTTTGCGCGGGCCAATGCCCCGCCACGCTCCACACACAAGCGATAGCTATCGCGACGTTGAGAAGAAGAACTGTAGCCCTCACTCATTCTGGACAACACCCAATATATGTTATCCGACGTTGCAGAACCTGTAAGCACAAGACCACGCATCAACAAAGGTGTCAACACGAAGACGAGTCAGACTCGCTTCACCGCGGCGCAAGTATTCACAACCAGAACGATCTGACAACCACCTTCCGAAGAGCACGATGTCAGCGAGAGGCGCGCCCCTGGGCGCCAGCTCGGCAGCGCCCCCCGCGGCGCAGTCCGTGGGCAGTCCAGTGCGCAGCGCCGAAGCCCAAGGCGTTCTCCGCCTTGTCAGGCCAGCGCTGCAAACGAAGATACGATACAGGGCAAACCCTATCACCAGGCTTGGCAGGATAGCGAAGTGAATGGCGATCAAAACGAGCCACTGCGGAGGGCTCCTCGCATAAATCCTCCTGCTCAGCGCCGCGCCTCGAGCGGCCGAGCAGTGCCGCATTGCCGGTGGGCGGGCGGACTCACGTCGAGCCCTCCAGCGACAGCGCCTCCGAGGCCTGCGGCAGGCCCGTGAAGCACAGCAGCGCGGCAGCGGCGCAGCCGCACTCCCAGGCCAGCGCCAGCCAACTAGTTCACCGCGCCGAGCGCGAGCACCGCGGGCATGGCTGGAGCCTGCAGGGGCGGCCGCCGCTGTCACCACGCATCCAGCGCCTTCCAGGCCGCGCGGTAGCGGTGGCGACGGCCGGCATTCGCGACGGCAGCCAGCAGCGTGGAGGGGGACCCCCTGCCCTCCACGCCTCCGGACTCATGGAAGAGATCCACCACGCGCTCGGCAAAGAACCAGTCAAGCGTTTCCTCGGAGAGCCGGCCCACCCCAAGGCCCAGCGCCTCGAGGTCAAAGATGAAGGCGCTGAGAGCGGCGGCGTACCTTTGCGTGGTCACTGGCTTCAACGCGCGCGCTCATCAAAAAGGTTACGTATGATGCGTCCACGGCGCCTGCCAGGATCCTCGGCCATGGCGCGGAAGCTCTCGCGCCCTCGCGTGAGCCCCCACTGCCGAGCGAACCAGGGCCTGGCACAGCTGTGGAGGATAGCGAGCAAGCTGTCCTGTGACGAAGCGCAAGCCCCCATCAGGTGCAAGACCGCACTGCCCGCGGTGGCGGCGACGGCGATTGCAACGAAGTCACAGAAGCTCCCTGAGCGCGGCGTCATTCGTGACAGTGGACGCAGGCTTCTGAAAGATAGCGCCGCGACGACACTGATCGAACGGCGCGACATGCAGCCGAACTCCATCATCCAACTCACCACGTCCTGAGAGCACCAGGAAGACGGGACAGGCTCACGCTCTGGGTCCTGAGTGTGCTCCTGTCCCGCCCATCCCCCACGGAGAACAACCCCCGTGAAAAGCTCAAGGCAGAAAAAGAAGAGGTGCGATCCCAGCGCACAGGCGCGTCGCTCTGAATCTCACAGTCCAGGCCAAGGCGAGAAAGGGTCGCCTCTAGCGCGCAGCGGCCTCGGCCTGCGGGGGCCCGCCAGGGGGGCGGTGCCTGGCTCGGCTGACCGTCGAGCAAGGCGGCACAGCGAAGACGCCCACGAAGCCCCCGCTGCCGCGCAGCCTGCGCCAGTCCGCCGCGAGGAAGATGTCGGTGAGGTCGCGGCCGTCGTCGGCGGCCAGGTCGTAGGCCAGCGCCTTCGCCGCGGGCCCAGAAGCCTGCGCCTCCTGCTCCACCATGTCACACACGTCACCTCGACGCCTAGGACCAGACCAGCCGTGCAGGAACATGGAATCACGGCTGCCCCAGGCTGCAGGTGTCGGAGGAACGACCTCCAGGCGCGGCAGCGGCTGCGGCGGCTTCCGCGGCTCTCGGTCAGCACGAGCTCCATGCCAGCTGCTGGGCTCGTCAGCAGGTTTCTTCTTCGTGGAGATCCAGAAATGGAATTGCGAGAACCCGCCGGCCAGCTCGATGGCAGCCCCACGGCGGCAGCGCGGATTGAGCTTGCGGCTGGCGCTGCGGCCTTTGATGAAGGCGCCCTCGCACGGCGCGTTGTTGCCAATGCGCAGCGCACGGCAGCCGAGCTCCGACGGCCTGTGGAGGAGGGCCTCAATGCCGCATGCCCCACAGCTTCGCGTGAGCCTCCTCCAAGGTGATGTGCCCTGGCCGCCAGGCTGCCCCACCTTGAACCAGTGCGGGCCCGGCGGCGGCGTCACCCTGGCAAGAGGGCAGCGGCCCTCGAGGTCGACGTCGATCCTGAAGCCGTCGTCCAGCTTGCTGCAGTGCGCCCTGTAGAAGGAGGCTGCGCATAAGGGGGTGGCGCTGGCGTCAGCCTCTTGTGGGCAAGCCTACGTGAGTCTCTTGTTGGGTGAGCCTCTTGCTGAGTAGGCCTCTTGTCGAGTATACTGAGCCTTTTGTGGCGTGGGCGTAACGCATCGCCACCGTCAACCCAGGGGCGGGGGCTGGCCCAGGGGGACGACCGCTGTGCGCCGAGGATGACCCTCCTACAGGGAGATGTTGGACGACAAATTATATAAAAGGCAATCCAGCAAATATTGAGAAATGGTCAAACATAGGACAAAAAACCTCCGGAAAAAAAGAGTCTAGCATACGGAAAACAAATCCTCCCCAGACTATTGGTTGACTACTTTTGAATCTGCCTCCTGTAGGGGGAGAGGCCCGACTGTTAACATCGGGAGGCCCCAGGCCTGCGCCCCGCTCCCCGGCGGCGCCGCCGCCGCGGCCGCGGGCCCCTCGGCCGCGCCGGCGCCGCCCTCGGCGGCCTCTCCGGCGGACTCGGCGTCGTCGTCGCCGGCCGGGTCGCCCTCCTGAGGGCCGCGGGGGGCGGCCAAGACGGAGGCGTCCTTAATGCGGGATGACGATCAATAAAAAAATGGAGGGGAACGATTAAAAAATAGTTTCTTGCTATGTCTGCATAATTTTCTGCCTGGAGGAGACCGATTCAAAAGAATAGTTTTCCAGCCCGCGGCTGATTTTTTTCTCATCGTCATCCCAGGCGCCGCCGCGTGAACACGACCCCCGGTCATTTATTAATCGTCATCCTCCATTAAGAGGGGAGGCGCAGGTCATGGCCGGCGGCACGCGCGCGCGGCCCCAGGGAGCCTCGTGGGGGCCTCCTTTGGGGGCGCTGCTTGAGGCCTCCTGGAGCTCACGGGGGGGCATCTTCGGGGCCCGCTGGCGGCCCCTGTGGCGGCCTCTTGGAGCTCTGCCGAGGCTCCCGGGGGGGGGTGGGGGCCGTTTGGGATCTGTGTTGGAGGAGCCTCTGGGAGCCAGTGTCTTGGGGGGCCATCTGCCCTGATCTTCCAGGAGTGCTAAACAATAGCACCAGGACCTCGACGCCCAAATCCTTGTCGACGTTTTGGGAAGTCCGGACAGGTCTATAGGTCTGGAGGGCTATTCTTTAGCACTCTGGAAGGTCAAGGAAGAGGGGGGGGCGCACATCATGGCCGGCGGCACGTGCGCGGCCCAGGGGGGGGGGAGCCTGGGAGGGACGCACTGAGAGAACAAGATGCGCCGTGAAATCTGGGGAGATATCATGGCCCCCATCGTGATATCCCCCCCCCAGTCATCACCCCCCTCTTGGCCGCCTCCGACTGAGGGTCAGAGGGGGGCGGCACCGGCCGGGCACCTCTGCATATCGGGCACTGCGCATAATTTCCAACAAAAATGGGAGCGGGCGGCTTTGGGGGGCAATGTGTTCGGCCTCATGGGGGCCCTCGCCGGGCCTCGGGAGCGCCAGAAAACGACTCAGGACGAAAACTGGCGTCGGAGTAAGGGTCCCCAGACCTTCCAGGAGGGCTAACAAATAGCACCAGGACCTCGACACCGAAATTCCTGACGGGATTTTAGGCAGCCCAGACAGGGCTATAGGTCTGGAGGGCTATTTATTGGCACTCTGGAAGGTCAATGTCCAGACCTCTGGGGCCCACGCACCAGCAAAAATGGGAGCAGCCGGATGACTGGGAATGGGGGTGCGACAAAGGGGGGGGGAGACACGTGCACCCATTCGTGCCCGTTTGGGGCCCCAGGGCGCCCCATGAAGGGCCCCTCTCGGGCACTTAAGCGGTGCACCTTTCTTCAACCCCCGTGCCCCCATTTACGCAGCGCCCGGTCTGCACCCAGACATATGCCACGTCGAGGGGATATCACGACAGCGTGCTTTCGCTGCGGCCTCTGGGAGCCCTCTCCGGGCCCCGGGACCGTCAAAAACAGCTCGGGACGCAAAACGGGCCCGCTTGGCCTCCGCGGGGGTTGCTAAGAGGATAGGGGGACACAAGTGGATGCTAAGGTGGGTTCTAACCAGTCTAACCCAGCTCAGAAGAAGGTTGCACGTGCCCGAAGTGGCTCAAGGGCGCCCTGATCTGGGCTAAGTGGGCTGAGTCCACTTAGCGGATATACCTCACCATCCTAAGCCACATAGGGAATTTGTAACCCACTCATAATGTGGGTGGGGCAAGGTAAGACCCACTTGTTGATTCACTTCTAACCCCCCAATCCCCTTAGCAACCACCACGGCGATCCAAGCAGGGAGCGCGCACGGGCAGGGGTCGGCGCCGAGCGAGGGGGGGAGGTGAGAAGGAGGAGGCCTTCTTCCCAGACCTCGCGCTGTGAAGAAATCACGGCGCGAGGTTGTTCGTTATGTTTGGCCTCTGGGGGCTCTCTCCAAGCCTCGGGACCGTCAACAAAACACCTCTGGAACACCCGTCCTGGGGAAAGGGGTCCAGACCTTTTAGGGGGGGGGGGAAGTTTCGAGATTCGTCGAACCTCGAATTTCGAGGTTCGATTTGGGTCGGGACTCCCAGGGAGCGCGCATTGAAACATCAGAACTGAATATCGTTTAAACGACCCTCCTCCCCAACGGCGTGGCCTAGGCCCCGCTGGCCGATTTACCCCCCCCCTTTAGAGGGGATACAGGGCGCCCTCTCTGGGTGTCGAGGGGCACATCCCCAAACCGGGGTGGTAATTTGGTGGGGGTCTCGAAGCGGATTGGGATGGGGGATGG